GGCAGTCAAATAAAGTCATCTGAATTGAAGCCTAGAAATCTTTTTTGAAAGTTATGTAGTAGGTTGAGCAGAGTCTCCCTAAAATTCATGTCCACTGAGAACCTTAAAATGTGACCTTATTTGGAAATAGATTCTTTGTAGTTGTAATTAAGGTTAGGATCATGATGAAACCATATTGGACTGTGCCCTGAATCCAATGAGAATATCCTTATAAGAGAGCAATGGGCACACAGAAATGCAGAGAAGTAGTGGAATTTGGAGGTATATACAATCATCCTTTTGTACCCAGAGTAACAGGTGGGAGAGGCAAGAAGGACCCTGAGGATATCAAAATCCACAGATGCTCAAATCTCTTATGTAAAATGGCCTTGGACAGCCAGCCCTCCACGTCTGCATGGTTGCTTGAATCTGAGGATTCAGGACCCGCAGACACTCAGGGCTGACCATCTTTGAATGATGCCAGGGACTGCCGGCTCACAACTCTGTGGCCTCTGGCACGTTAAGAGTATCTTGTATTTTCACAGTGGTTTACTGTATTTCCTTTATACATTAGCATTTTGATAAACAAGTGCTACAGTATACACAGGGCAAGAAAATTGTTTTTAATCATCAGTAACAATTTTCTCCCTGAAAACGTTAAGCTAGCTCCTTCAAGAGAAAGGATCTTCCAGAAAGAACCAACTCTACCTGGACCTTAATTTCAAACTTCTGCTCTCCTGAACCTTGAGAGAATAAATTTCTGGAGTTTTAAGCCACCATGTTTGTGGTGGCTTGTTAATGACAGCAAACTAATGTGAAGTCCACTGAGTGAGTCCAAGAGAAGTAGTACACTTGAAGAAAATTTCATTATGTGCACATCTTGGAGTCAAACTATATTGAAATTAAAATGACAAACCTGATATGTATCACTTCATCATCCTCGGCAAGTTTACTTATTCAATTACCATTTAACAACATGCAGAATGATAATGTCTCAATGAGCAATCTGAGTGAGTCATCAAAGTAAAACATTCAGTTTAGTACAGTAACTATTTTACTCCCTTCTTTCTGTCTTTTTCCTGTATTTTCCTGGTATGATCTATTATGGATACACTTGTTACCAAATCTAACATCTGTCTACCTCCTCACTGAATATTTAGATTTGGAAGAAAATAATAATATTCTTACTGAAATTTTAAAACAGCAAGAGACTTACTTGTCCAGGGTAAGATCTGTGCCATCTAGCCAAACCCATTTCAGTTGTTGGTTGTTGTAGTATAAACTGGTGAAAAAGTTATCTTTCTGCAGACCACATTGCATCTTTGACAGTTTTATTATGAAATTCTGCAGAGAGTGAGAGGAAAATAAGTCAGAAAGTAGAACTTCCCCTGAAAAAGAAGAATATAATGGTTTAAATTTGCACATTTAATTTATAAACTTCCCTTTGGACTCTCTGTTCCATTGTATCAAGAGACTCTGTTTTAGGGATTAATCCTAAATTCTTCAGCCATAGGCTGGATGTCCATAGCTAATGACTCATTTATTCACTGAGCAATTATTTTTTTAGTACCGATTAAATTCGAGGGATTTTTCTTAGGTTTTGGGTTGTCAAAGTGAGCAAAAGGTCTTCAAGCTGTAGTCACTCAGGTTAGGCACTGCAGAAATAGGACAGTACTCACTGAGCTTACGTAGTAAGTATGACACGTGCTACAGGAGAAGAAATACAGAGTCAGAGGAGCAGAATTAGCAGGGGATTCTTAACAGATTTTAGTATGCCAAGAATGTTTCCCGAGGGCATCATCTAATCAGATAAAATCTTAAAAATGAGGATGTATTAGCCAAGAGAAGATAGTTTGTGGTGAGAGGTGGAGGAGATAGAATTTGTCACGGGTAAATGGCACCAGGGCATAAAAGAGCATGGGAGACCGTGATGAATTTAAGAGCTTCAACACA